CCGGTGTAGGTGCTGCCCCTCCCCAGAGGAGGTGAACTGCTGCAGCGCGCCTTGAGGGCGGGCTCTGGGGTGGGGGGTGAGGGCCGTCGGTAGGGACAAGTTCAGGGGTGTACAGGAGGTCTGGGAGGCTGGAACCGATGCTGATGCACTCTGCCCAGCTCCACAGAGCCTGTGGTTCCCCTTGTTCTCGTTTTTAGCCAAACTCCCAAAACGCAGAAAAGAAACTACGTTTAGGAAGGTGACATTGCTTTATTCAATAGTGCGCAGAATTAAACACTCAGGGAAGTTTCCCAAACCGAGTGCAAAGCTAAACAGGAAACTTGGCATATTTATGTACTAGAATTTGCATCTCTCGATTACGTGCCACACACATCATTACTTGTCATACTCAACTCCACCTTTCTACCCTATTTGCATAGTGCTAGCGTTGCAAAATTATACTCTGCATGCGCAGGGGTCTCGGGTGGTCGTTGGTGGTCGTTTGGGTAAGCACCCCCTGCTCATTCTTGCAGAAACCCTTTGCCAGCCTTCAGACATCCTTGTCTCCTCGGTTAGCTCAGGTCCTTGAAGCTGTTATGTCAACACAAGAAGCATTCTGTGCATCGTCCACTGCAAGTCCTGATGGTTGTTATTTTGTTTTTACACAAAGTTTCACTCTTGATCCCACGTAGGGTATATCAAGCTAAAAAGTACAAAAGAATTCCTAGAAAATATTTACATAAGGCAATGTCCAAACACTGTCAGTATCAATTCCCCCCTTTGGAAGTCCTGTAGCTGCACTACCAGTTATCTTCAGGACTTTCATAATCTTGCACCATCATTATTCTGTTATTAAATAAAACTTGCATTAAGGCTCATTTTAAACACTCAAACAGCATACTCACTATGATAATGAGTACAATTATAATTGTAATACTCTGTACCAAACTTGATAACCATCTTGTTAGAGACTGTCCAGTGATTCATTGAAGAATTTGATTCAGCCAACTAGTTTTGGACAATTCTCTTAAGTTTCTTGAACTATGTGCCACTGCTTTTATCTTATCCAATCTCTTAGTCAAATCTTCAGTTACATTTGGGATATGTATACAATCATAGAATCATAGAATCATTTAGGTTGGAAAAGACCTTTAAGATCATCAGGTCCAACCATTATCCCAACACTACCAAGCCCACTACTAAACCATGTCC